ACTTTTTACGGCCGCGTCGTAAGATTTTGGGGCCCTTTTTCGTGGCGTTTGGGGGAGCCCCCTTGGCCTTTGCCCTTTTTCCAAGAAAGTTTTAAACTTGGAGCACTTGGATAAACTTAGAGTTAGACGTAACACGGACTAGGTCCAGCCCTGGGTGGCGCAAGATCTGACGTTCTGACATGTGACAATCGTCAAATCCGTGTTTTTCTCGTTGTTTTGTCGCTCGCTCCGCTCGCACCTCACGCTCCGTAGTCCGGCCATGGCCAGTACCCCGCGTCTCAGTGAGACGCGTGGTACCATCCAACTCCGGTCGAAGGGCTCGAATGCGCTCAGCCTCGGAGGAACAAAACCACGTCACGCAAATTCTGCACGCCTCGCTGCGCCGCTGGCTTGACTGAATCAGGCAGCAGCAGGCCGCTGCTGCTGCCACAGCAGCAGTCTGCTGCGGCCCTAATACGCAAGTTAATGACTAGCAGCACTGCCGGGGGCATACGAGCCGCCACAGCCGGTGTGCGGCCGTGCACTGCCACCTGCCTGCGGCTACGCACAATGTGCGCTCGCATTGGATGAGCCCTGCTGATGGACCTGCGTCGCCTAGCTGCACGAGAGCAATGCCGCAGGCGGTGGCCGTGGCATACACTGCGAGCACACTCGGTGCAGCTGCGAGGTGCAGCAAGAGCACGTCGTTCCTGCCTCTGATGCCACTCTCGCGGCTTGCAGCGCGTCACTCGCGCATGCTCTCCAGGAGCTATGGCGGGCGCGTGTGTGGGGCTGTAGCCTGTGTTTGGCCGGTTCTGACCCGTTTACTATCAGTATCATGCCCGGGCCACAAAAAATCGCACACGGGTAGCGGCTCAGGGGCCCAGTAAGTCGCGGAATCGCCAAATGTCACAACGACCTGCGCCACCCAGGGCTGGACCTAGTCCACGTTGCACGTTGGTATGGGGAAATAGAAGCGACTTTTCCCACTCTACCTACCAGGCGCAACTCCAACTGCAAACTACTTTACGGTACGCCGCTTTAACCTTTATCGGGCAGAAGGTAATTTACGCAAAAGGCGCGATGCTTCTCCTGGGAGTCTACGAGTGGTCGACGGATTATAGCCCGCCCCGACGCGCCGACGCTGCTGCGCCTGCTACACCCCTCCCTACTCTCTAGCTAAGGGCTCTGTTCACAGCGGGTGGACAGTGGTTGTCCTGGCGGAGTCCTGACGGAGTCCTGACAGAGTCCTGACAGAGTCCTGACAGAGTCCTCTGACTGAGTCCTGACGGAGTCCTGACAGAGTCCTGACGGCCTATTTTGGAGGTTTTCAACTTTGAGGTATTGTAACTATGTGAGGGGTCCCTTATGGTGGCCTGTAAGGGTATAAGGTGCGGGAGGTCGACAAACCCAGGGCCGACTACACGGTGAGCCATACGGACCTTGCACAAAACCTTTTCCTTCTAAGCAGGGCTACACAATGACCCTATAGTGTGGGGGTGTTCCTGGCGAGTTGTGATGAGTAGAATTAGACTAGCCAATACTATTTTGAAGTTCATATATGAAAATACCAACTTGCCTATGTGCACGTCTCCGCGGCGGCGGCCCGGACTTAGGGGACCCCTAGGGTTCTGAGGGCCGGATTTTTTAAGACCTCTTAAGAAACGAGGAGGTTTGGGGGCTTAACTTGCCATTTAAGAGATTGCAGGCACGGGGGGTCCCTCTTTTAAGACCGTTTAAGAAAATCGGCCTCGCCGGCACGCGTCGCTGGGTTCCGCGCCGTTTTCTCCAATACTGCCGTTGTTAGGCACAAACCCACCTCTGAAGACACATCTGTAAGTCTGGTGCACTGGCAGGAGCCATACTCGCATAGGGGACGCGTGCTAGCTGACTGTAGCCGGCTTCCCGGCCTCTGGCGTGTCTACCGGGAGCCTCCCGGACCATCGACCTCGGGAGCTCTCCCGCACCGTTTAAGCGTTTAAGACCGTTTAAGGAATTGGCGGCCCAGCAGCTCTTAAAACTTGCCATGGCAAGTTTTAAGCCGTTTAAGCCGCAGGCGCCCCAGGGCCCACCCTTTTAAGCCTAGGGGTCCCCTAAGGGCCCGGAGGCGGCCCGGCGGAGCAGTCAGAGCAGCACTGCGCCGGCCGGCGAGCGACTCTCGACTATAGTACGGGCTCTATTGAATGGCCTCAAGGTGCTCTCTAGGACTGCCCTACTCCGCTCGCCCGGCTACGACGCTGAGCTTCGAAGGAAAAGGTTTCGCTCGGCACGACGTCGGAGAGCAAACTTCGGCGTTCGTCCTATGTGGAATGCTGGACGCACGTAGGCAAGTGGCCCATGACCAGGCGGGCTGCTGCTCAGAATCTGGGCCGTCGGCGCTCGCTCTCGCGCTCTTCATAACGGCGTTGCCCCCTCCCTCCCGCGCCGACGTTGGGCAGCCCGACAACGACAACGCCAGTGCCGCTGGCCTGCAACTCGAGGCGCCTTTGAATGAGCACGAGCCGGTGCGCGACGCGGCGCGGGTGATGCAGCCCAAGGTGACGGCGACGGCGGAGGGGTCGGCGGCGGAGGGGGAGGCGGCAGCGGCGGCGATGGCCGCGGGGTCGGCCCGCCCGCCTTTGCTGCTGGTGCTGTGGGATGTCGGTCATCTGCCACCACTCGCCAGCGACAAGGTTGCCGGGTCCATGGACGCAGACTTGCTGGAAATTGAAGAGGTGCTCGGCGTGCGTTACTGCGATCCGAGCCAGATGACTGCGGTGGCGCTGAGGAACCCTGTCGATGAAGACGACGACCGCTTGGAGTACCTCGTCTCTGGTTCGGCAGGTCCCGACGACCGTGGCTTCCATTCTGTCGCTTGGTTTTTTCACGGCGACTTGCTGGACCATGCAGGTGCGGACACGGTCAAGGCAGCGATACAAGAGTATTAGAACTGGATAAGGAATTCACGGCGCTGGCGGAGGCGTGTGACGAGGCTGATGCTGAGTAGCCGCACCAGCGCTGCTCAGCGGCAGTGTGCGCCGACCAGGGGCAGGGCCAGTGGTAGACAGTGGACGTGGTGAGGCTGCTCTTCGAGCGATGACACTAGCAGGAGCATCATGAGTGTCATCGGAGTCACTTGTGTTACGATATCACCACGCCGCCACGCTCGCAAGGGCCGCCTAAGCGCCTAAGCACCCTAAGCACCCCCCCGCTTAGGCCGCTTAGGCGCGTAGGCGAGTGACGGCCGACTCCCCGGGGCCTGGCGTGCCTCCGCCATGGGCTGAGCGCCTGGGAGAGCCACTCAGCAAGTGGTGTGCGAGCGTGTAGCCTTTAGCGTGCAGTCTGCCCGGTACTTGACTGGCAGTCGCCTGAGCCCTGGCCTCGACACCTGGACACCAAACCTCGACACCGACTCGACACCTCGACACCCCATGCCAACTCGACCAACTTGACACCCCTCGACACCCCTCGACACCCCTCGACACCATCTAGGCTGGGACCATGCTCGTCCGTGTCAAGGTGCCAAACTCGACACCTCGACACCCCTCGACACCGCTCGACACCGCTCGACACCGCTCGATACCTATGACCGCTCGACACCACCTCCACACCTCTGATGATCCTAACACAGCAGAGACGTAGACCCATTGGAGTCACAGAGTTAGAAAATCAGGGTTGCAGCAGCAATCAAACTTGGCTGGCAGTACTTTCATCCCTCAGTTGCAGCCTCTTAAGTTCTAGCTCAAGTTGCAGCTCAGTTGCACCCCTGCAATGACCAATGTAGCAACCATGGCAGTACTCAGGTAGCCCTCAGGTGCTGCACAGCACCTTGTACAGTGGCAATGAACCCTCACACCAGTGAGCTTGTGCCATGAGTGCGGACCTGTGGTCCATTGCGCTTTGTGCACTGGCGACGCTGCAACGGCGACGCTGGCAGCGGCGGCGACGCTGCTGTGATGGGGCACTGTAGCCCTTAGCTGCTGGACAGCACCTTGTGCAGTGGCAATGTCCACTGACTCATGGCACCAGCCTGTGCCATCAGCGCTGTGGTCAGTTGCGCTTTGTGCGCCGGCGACGCTGCATGCAGCGGCGACGACGCTGCAGCGGCGACGCTGCTGCATGGGGTGTGCTGTAGCCTTAGGTGCTGCGCCTGCACAGCACCTTGTGCAGTGGCAATGACTCCTGGCACCCGTGAGCTTGATGTCCTCAAATGTCCACAGAGTATACTGGTTGTGCTCACAGGTTGTGCTACATCAACAGGGGTGCAACTTTGAGAGGCTGCAACTAAGGGATGAAACAGCTTTGCAGCTGCTGCCCAAGTTTTGTTATGGGCTGCAACTGCATCCTGCCACCTTGGATACCTCGACACCTTAGACGCTAAACACCTTGACAACACTTGACACCCGCTCGATACGCTCGACACCCTCGACACCCTCGACACCCTCGACACCACTCCTCGACACCTCGACGGACAAGCATGGTCCCAGGCTAGACAGGCCTCGAAAGGCCTCGACAGGCCTCGACAGGCCTCGACAGGCCTCGACAGGCCTCGACAGGCCTCGACACCTCTATCCCTCGACAGCAGCTCGACACCCTCGACACCGGGCCTCGCTCGACACCTCAACACCAGGCGCAGGGCTCAGGCAGTCGCTCTCGGCCTCATTGCAAACAAACCGTGGCAAGATAGTGCAGGCTGGCGCGCCCCGCCTGCGCGCGCGGCCACAGACGTCGGGCTCGGAGCACCAACGAAAGAACACAACAAGCTTTCGCGCTGTGGAGACGTCGGATGTTCACACGTCAATAACTTTTGAACGTTTGAGTATGTCACGCTAGAACCAGCGGGGGTGCCAGCAAACATTTTGAGATTTCTTCAATTCATGCCCTTTTGGATGCACATACCTCTGTACTCGCACAACATGCGCCACATTTGCCATCGACGTCAACAACACACAAACGGCTGGTCTCCCAATATGTGGCCCTGTCGCAGTGAAACTATTCTATTTGCTATTTGGAGAGAAGTACTTTTCCAACTGTGTGGTGCGGTTGGCTAGTAGCCTCACAAGACACAACCCTCAACCTGTGGTGTAGTCTATGCAACGCTGTCTATCGCTTGCACGGTGCCCAGCTCCCACCTGCCCCCACCAGGGACTTCCACACGGCGGTCGCGCCAGTCGGCTGCGGTCAGAGACAGCCCCTCACTTCCCCGCTTCGCCTCCCCGAGCCTGTTCCGTTAGGCCGACACTTCCACTGTGCACTGCCACAGTGCTCCCCACAATCTACAGCGCCTTGCCGCGCCGCCGGCCAAGCCAGCCACGCTTGGAGGCCTGCAACCGTAACGAGTAGTGTGTGATTGACCAGCACGTGGTGATGAATAATGAGCTACGTGTGCTCGGCGACCTGCCCCATCCACATGGGAAGCCCCTTGTCGAGGTCCCGCCGCCGCCGGTCGCACCCGCCGCATGCCGCGCCTGTGCACGGCGGGGAGGTGTGAAGAGACGCATTCCGCACTCACGGCGCAGCCGAGCCGCGAGCCGCGCCGCAGCCGAGCAGCACGACGAGGAGGAGGCCTGTTCACAGCTGGAAGGTGTGAAGAGACGCCGTTCACACACCCACCCCTCTTTGCGAGCAGCACGGCGAGGAGGAGGCCTGTTCACAGCTGGAAGGTGTGAAGAGACGCCGTTCACAGACCCACCCCTCTTTGCGAGCAGCACGGCGAGGAGGAGGCCTGTTCACAGCTGGAAGGTGTGAAGAGACGCCGTTCACAGACCCACCCCTCTTTGCGAGCAGCACGGCGAGGAGGAGGCCTAAGCAGAGAGGGCGGAGGCTCGAGCCCGAGCTCGTTCGCCGAGTGCAGCCGAGCAGCAAAGAGCGGAGGAGGGCCGACTCGTGCTGCGGCGGACGCAAGCGGCGACGGCGACTCCTCGCCTGGCGAAGCGGCGGGCGCCTCGTGCGCGCGCCAGCAGTAGAAGGTTGGCTCGAGGCAGTAGGCGGCGTGCAGCTGCTTGAGGACGGCGGGCTCGACCCAACCCTCCGCCTCCTCCCCTCCCCCCTCCGCAGCCTCGCTCGCCCGCCGCTTCCCCTGCCGCCGCCGCGCCGCCGCGCCCCCCTTGCTCGCCGCCTTTGGGAGGAGGGCGGCGCAGTCGACGCAGTCCTCGCGCGGTGGCCTGTTCACAGCTGGAAGGTGTGAAGAGACGCCGTTCACAGACACGGCGCTTGCCGCAATCCGCGGGGCAGGCCAGGCGACGGGGGTGAACTCGGCGAAGGCGTGATCGCCGGCGGCGATCTCCTGTCACTCAACCAGTGGCGAGATCAGCTAGTGAACCAACAGGCACAGGCGGGATCGGCTACACCTTGGCTGCACCTCGGCCGCACCTCGGCTATGCCTCGGCTGCACCTCGGCTGCACCTCGGCTACACCTCGGCTATGCCTCGGCTGCACCTCGGCTGCACCTCGGCTACACCTCGGCTGCACCTCGGCTGCACCTCGGCTGCACCTCGGCTGCACCTCGGCTGCACCTCGGCTGCACCTCGGCTGCACCTCGGCTGCACCTCGGCTACACCTCGGCTACCTCTCGGCTACACCCTAAGGCTCTCTCCTTGCGCAGCCTCGCGTTGACCTCGTTGTGAGCAGCCCACAGCCACAGCTCGACCGCGTCCCGCGCCTGAAGGTCAATCTCGGGCAATCTCGGACAATCTCGGGCAATCTCGGGTGATCTCAGCCACAGCTCGGTACTCTCGGGTACCCTCGGGTACTCTCGGGTACCCTCGGGGTGATCTCGGGGTGATCTCGGGGTGATCTCGGGTGATCTCGGCCGAGCCGCGCGCCTCCTCTGGCGGCGGCGCCACCCCCGCCGCCGCGGCGGCATTGGCGGCGATGGCGGCGAACTTTGCCTGGTCCGCGCTGGCGCCGCCGAGCGACGCAGCCTGCACGGCGGCGATGCGATTACCACCGCCATTTACGAGTATCCATGTTGTGAGCACTGATGCCGTTGATAGTACGTCAATAGGACTCTGAATGTGGGCAGCAGGCGGCGCGAAGCGCACACGATGTTTGTTGTGTTGTGTGGCATGAGCGTGCAGCATTCAGTGGGGGCGTCTGTCCATGTGCATGTGCATGTGCATCTGCATCGCTTCTCTCGCCTGCATGCGACAGGACGCGACGAGGCGAATGAACTAGTGAATTAGTAATTCGAATTACTTAATCAAGCCTCTCGCCTGCACGCGGCGGGACGCGACGAGCCGAATCCGCCGCACGACGGCCGAGAGGCGCCTGCTCGGCGAACCGATGCTTTTTCTGTAGTCACCCACCGGTGTCTCCAGTAGCGCAGCCCGTCGCTCGACGCCTGAACGCAGCGCTGCCACCCGCCAGCGGCGCGGCAGCGCCCCTCGCCTCCTCCTCCTCCTCCTCGCCTCCTCCTCCTCCCCCGCCAGCGCTGGCGGCGCCGGCGGCGGGGGCGGCGGCGGGCGGCGGCGAGAGGTGCAGAGCGAGAGAGCGGAAGTGTACGACGCACTCGGCGCACGAGAAGAAGACGTCGACGTAGCGCAGGATCGCCTCGAGCGTCTGCGGCGCGTGCTCCGGAGAGGAGTGCGCGAGCAGCGTGTGGAAGAGGAGCCTGTTCACAGCTGCGGGGTGTGAGCAGGAGGGTGTGAAGAGCGAGCGAGCAGCGTGTGGAAGAGGAGCCTGTTCACAGCTGCGGGGTGTGAGCAGGAGGGTGTGAAGAGCGAGCGAGCAGCGTGTGGAAGAGGAGCCTGTTCACAGCTGCGGGGTGTGAGCAGGAGGGTGTGAAGAGCGAGCGAGCGGCGTGTGGAAGAGGAGCCTGTTCACAGCTGCGGGGTGTGAGCAGGAGGGTGTGAAGAGCGAGCGAGCAGCGTGTGGAAGAGGAGCCTGTTCACAGCTGCGGGGTGTGAGCAGGAGGGTGTGAAGAGCGAGCGAGCAGCGTGTGGAAGAGGAGCCTGTTCACAGCTGCGGGGTGTGAGCAGGAGGGTGTGAAGAGCGAGCGAGCAGCGTGTGGAAGTGGAGCCTGTTCACAGCTGCGGGGTGTGAGCAGGAGGGTGTGAAGAGCGAGCGAGCGGCGTGAGGAGGAGGGGCCAGAGCGAGCAAGGGTAGCCGTGCCGCGCCGGCATCGCCGACGTGCACATCACGAGCCGAGTCGCGGCCTCCGAGAGGTACGGACTGCCGATCGACTCGGAGATGCCTAGCCGAGAGATGCTGGTCGAGACTCACTCACTCCTCCACCCCCGAGAGGCAAAGGGGCTGGCGGCGGGCTCGCGACGCCGGCTCGCTGCAGCATGCCGGCCCACTGCTGCTCGCCCGGCAAGTCCGCCTCCTCCCACGCGTCCATCTCAACCTGTTCACAGCCATATCTCCCCAGATCTCCCCATGTCTCCCCACATCTCCCCATATCTCCCACGCGTCCATCTCAACCTCGAGCTCCGCCAGCCCTCTATCTCGCTCTATCTCCCCATATCTCCCCATATCTCCCACGCGTCCATCTCAACCTCGAGCTCCGCCAGCCCTCTATCTCGCTCTATCTCCCCATATCTCCCCATATCTCCCACGCGTCCATCTCAACCTCGAGCTCCGCCAGCCCTCGAGCGAGCAAGCCTACCGCCGCGTGGAGGACCCCTCAACACACGCCGCCAGAACCAGCAACCACCTGCAAAGACCGTCGCGCGAGCAAGCCTCCATCGACGGCTCTCGGCACCCCCCTCGCCAGCGCCGACACCCACAGCCGCAGCGCCCCCAATCGCCTCGCCGCCTCCGCCGCCTCCGCCGCCGTGCCCTGCGACCCTCGCGGCGTCGCCACCGCCGCCGCGGCGTGTCTCACCTCAGAGAGTTAATTAACACCGTTGCTTCATGTTAATGAATGCACCTCCCGGAGCAGCGAGTGGCGGGCCGCGTGTGAGTTAATTAACACCGTCGCTTCATGTTAATGAACGCACCTCCCGGAGCAGCGAGTGGCGGGCCGCGTACAGCACGTCCGCCGCAGGGACGGGCAGCAGCTGGGGCCGGCGCGGCAACGGAGAGCCGCCTGGGGGGAGACATGGCAACCCGGTTACTTACCTCACAGCGAGACTGATCCACTAGTTAGACACCCACCTGGCGGAGGCATGGCAACCTTGTGCGCGGCCGCTGCCTCGCCGCCTCCGCTAGCGCCGCCTCCGCCGCCTCCGCCGCCGCCTCCTCCGCCTCCTCCGCCTTCGCCTCCTTCTCCGCCGCCGCCTCCGCCGCCGCCTCCGCCGCCTCCTCCTCCGCCTCCTCCTTCGCCTCCTCCTCCTCCTCCGCTGCCGCTGTGCCTTCCGCCGCCGCTCGCCGTCCGTAGCGCCGGCTGCACGGGCCCAACCTTCTCCTTGCTTGGGCCAACCTTCTCCTTGCTTGGGCCAACCTCCTCCTCGCCGACCACATCCTTGCTTGGCTTCGGCGGCGGTGTGGCGGCGGCGGAAGCGGCGCCTGAGGCGGCGGAAGTGGCGGCGGCGGCGGCGGCGGAGGCGGAGGCGGAGGACACTTTTGTGGCGGCCGCGTCGGCTGCTGCCACCGCAGCAGCGGCGGTGGCGGTGGCGGCGGCGGTGGCGGTGGCGGCGGCGGTGGCGGTGGCGGCGGCGGTGTCGGAGGTGGCGTTGGCAGCGGCGGTCGCGACGTCTGAGGTGGAGGCGTCTGCGCCGGCGGCGGGGAGGTGTGCGCTGTGTGCGGCGGCGAGCACTTTTGCGAGGTGCGCGGCGGCGGGGAGGTGTGCGCGGGCGAAGGCTGCCAAGGCGTCTGGCGACCGAGCCTACTCCAGGAGTGCAGAGCGATCAGTGGCGAGGTCGCACTCGGCCGACCCGGGGGCGGACGCCCACAGCCACCCACTGCTGCCTCCCACCACCACCACTGGAGTCTCCTGGATCTCGGCGCATCCCACTGCCTCTCACTGCCTCTGGCTAAAATCTCACCGATCTCACACCGCACCTTGACAAGGATCCCGCCTCCCTTCATCGCCTCGTCCTCCTCGTGAGGAGGAGCGTCGGAGCCGTCGGCGCTGCTGTCCGGCGCGGCCGCTCCGGCGGCGCCTTCCGACGAGTTGACCGCGCCAAACAGCTTGATGGTCGGGTAGGAGCGGACGCCGTGGCTGGAGCAGTCCTTCTCGTGCGACGGGCAGTTGATCGCGGCGACGAGCAGCCCGGGCACGTCGGAGCGTAGCGCGGCCGCGACCTTCTCGTAGGTCTTGGCGTACTGCTGGCAGTGCCCGCACCACTCGGCGTAAAACTCGACCAGCGTCGGAGTGCCGCCCTCGACGAGCTGAGCGAGCCGCGCGGAGGTGAGCGAGGTGACGGGCGAGTCCCGCTTATAGAGGCCGTTGGCGTGCGGGTCCTCTACGGCAGCTTCGGTCGCGCCGCAGGCGAGAGCGACAAGCGTGGCGAACATCGGACAGCGCCGCCCGCGTCGAGTTTGCCTGTGCGTTTTAGAGAAAACCTCCGTAGGAAGGGTGGCTTCTCAGCTCCCCGGTCCTGGGCGTGAGGTTGCCGACTGCACTCCAAGTGCTCCAAGTCCCCAGGGCTATATAGCGAGCTAGAACCCTTTGTCCCCTTGTGGCCAGTGTGGCTGGCAGTGCGCAGTGTCAACAGGCGACGGACCGTGCAAGCTGTTACACACAGAACGCGACCTCTCTCGAGGTTCTCGAGCCGTGTGCGCTGCCGTGGGCGCTGTCGTGGGTGCTGCCGTGGCCTGGGGGGTCGACGGGCCCCCGGGGGCGACGGGGGTGCTCTCGCGGGGGGTCCCCCCAGTCAAGGGGGTCTAGGGCGCAGCCCCAGGAGGCCCGCCGCAGTCGCCGATTTTTGGGGGCTTTTTTGACTGATTTTCATGAGGCGTTGCTACTATTTTGGGACCAGTTGAAGCCTAAAAATGGCTACAAATACAGCCACAACAGCTGCTAGTCGCGAGCTGCTACTGTGTGGCAGAGCCCAGAGAGAGGGCCTTCAGGAGCACTATTCAGTTTGATCCAGCTCAACGTTGCGGAGTAGTAACATTGTTCCGTTACCGTGAGCGGCCGGCGGCCGGCGGCGGCCGGTGCGGCACGCGGAGCACTCCGTGAGCAGTGACGGGTGCGGACGAGCGAATGATTGAGAGGTCCCTTTTGGTGAGAGATAGACAGCCCTAGTCTCTAATAACACATCTCCCACAGATAGCGACCTCTCATTCGCTCGTCCGCGCCCGTCACTGCTAGTCGGGGCACTCCCGGCGTGCGGCCCGGTCCCGGTCGTCACTCCGGTTGCTCGTGTTCACACCGTCAGAACTCAGCTCCGCTAAGCCTAGGATTCAGTGTCTGAGACTTGGGCATCTTACACAACCTTTGTAGTAGAGCACAATGGCACCCTTGGATCAAGTGGATCACTTCATTACTACACCGTACTACCGACCCCCGTTTTCGGCCGCCGCGGCCGGAGAGCACCCCCGTCGCCCCCGGGGGCCCGTCGACCCCCCAGGTGGCGTGGGTGCTGCCGTGGGCGCTGCCGTGGGCGCTGCCTCGGTCAGCAGTCGGTCAGCCGTCGTCCGCTGCTCGGCGCTGGCTTGCTGGCCGCCGGTGGCAAACCAGGGGCGCGCGGGCCTTGGACGTCGTGGCCGAGCTTTGCTGCCTTCTTGCACGTTGCCGGCTGTAACGTTGCCTGCACAATGGCCGCGCCTCTCTTGCCTTGTGCGCTTGGCATGGTCGAGTGGCGAGTTCTTTTCTCTGTCAGGACTCTCCTCAAGGCGTAAACGAAAACAGAAAAAATATGCGGGAAGCGTTTTCACTTGCACACAAAGGGCATTTATTTATTTCAATTATATATACGGCCGTAATTACAAACAAACAAACAAACTGCAGTTAAAACTGTCCCTCCCCCGCCATGGGTGACGCGGATGAGCGATTCAGTCCGACGCCGTCGTTGTTTGTTGCTAATGCTATGGGGAATGGGGGCCGTCAACTTCCAGCTTCCACCGAGTCGACTGCGGCATTGAAACGATCCGAGAAGTGGGCCTGTGACCTCTCCCTCCGTGAGCCTCCGGTCATCCCCCGGGCCAGCATTCTGAAACCCATTCTCAAAATGTACCTTGTATTCAAAGTTCCCTATGCGGCATCATCGCCGCCCAGGCGTCGCTAGCAGGGGCGTTCCGATGTGCTCCGATGTGTTACGACTCGCTCTCCAGTGTCACGCTTTTGGTCGACGGTAACCCCCCCCCCCCCCTTTGGACGCGTCCACCCTCCGCCCAACAAGCAACATTCGCCTCCCTACTAATACATATATATATTTCACACACGACCAGCCCTTTTTGCTTTAAGAGGGGTGGGGCTGGGGGGGGCTAGTCAACATCGAGGATCGCAGTCCCCCTGACTAGTCCCGGGGCCCGTCACCGGGCGCAGAGGTCCATGAAACGAGGACGTTCACCTGCCCTCGCGGCTGGGTACGCATGTATAGCACGGTACCGCTCAGCGCAGCAACGCAACGTGAGTGGAGCGGCGAGAGGTCGAGGGTCGCCTCTCCGAGGGAGTCATCGACGGCGTCGAAGCGACCGTCTGTGTCGTAAAGGGATATGCAGAGCGGCTCGGCGAGCAGCTGCGCCATCTCGCCGCTGAACTCGAAGCTCTCATCCCATATCGGATCGCGCGTCCTCCACTGCACGGACGAGCGGACCACGCAATGGTTGCCAAGCCGCACCTCGGCGTAAGGGTCAGGCAGCCCGTTCGCGCTTCGTAGCTTCATAGCCGAGAAGAGCCGCACCAATAGCACCCCTTGCGAAGCGGGCTGTACCTGTACCTGTGGTGGTCCTGCCGGTGCCGGTGCCGGTGGCAGCCTCGCGGCCGCGAACGCGGCGCCACGCGCCTCGATCCAGGCCGCCGCCGCGGAGCGCCACTGGACATGTACCCGGACAGACCCTTGCAGCGAGAGCGGCGTGACGAAAGTCGCCTCGCGGGCGTGCAGAAGTTTGTCGAGCTGTACGCGGGCCATGCCAAGGCAGTCATCACGGGAGGCTTTCTCACAGTCAAAGAGGGTCACGACGAGGCCGTCCTGAAGGAGGTCGGAGAAGACGCCGTTCCACGAGAATGACTCGTTCCATACAGGGTCGAGGCTATTTCTGACGACACTCGACCTCCGCTTGCTTGCGCCGAGGTTCAGGACTGCATATGAGTCAGAGGTACCGGCTCGTTCCGCCGCCTTGAGCCGTTTGGCCGAGAGGAGCGTGACGGTGACATGGCCACGCTCTTCCCGTTCCCGAGCAGTCGCGAGGGTGAGTGCGCGAGCGCGAGGGTGGAATGGGAGTGAGGCGACGCAAGGCAGCGTGAGGAGGAAGAGTATGGCCAAGCTGATTAGGCCTTCGCCCAAAAAGTAGACAAAAGCATCGGTTGTCGACTTTGCGATCCAAAAGTCGAGACACAGCGCCAGGGACACGGCCACAAGGGGCCACGCTGGATGCCAGAGCGCCTCCACCACGCTGTCCTCGACATCATAATCGGGCTTCAGCCTCCCCTGCTCCGCTGTCCACATCAAGGCAGTGTCGGCCAGCGCCAGAGCTGTCTTCATCCGGGGCAGCGGCATGCCACTCCACGCAGGCTGCGCGCGTACGCGGTAGCCGCGCCACTGGGCTTGCATGGCGATGGCAGCGCGAGTCTCAAACTCAAGTTGCGACAGGAGCGGCCTCCCTGCCTCGAGGTCGCCTGCTGTCGGCGTCGGAGAAGCAGACGTACCATTCCCGTCCTCTTCCCCGTCCTCCTCCTCCAGCCGACTATAGGGCCACCCCTCCCGCCCGCCTGGTCGTGCCCCGCCCCGCCTCCTCCGAACAGTGCCCGCCGCCCAAGCAGCGGAGGTGCCGCCGGCGGGCAAGAGCCGCTGCCTCGCCGCCGCAAGCGCGTCGAGCCTCCTCTCGCGCTTGCGAGCCGCCTGCAGCTTGCGAATCGAGTGCTCGTGTGCCCTGGCACTGGCGCGGTCGTCAAACGCCTTCTTGCGCTTCATTAGCGCGGGACTGAGCATCTGCACGAGCGCGCCACTCTCATCGTACCCGGTCGGCATCGCTTGCACGAGCCCCTTGCCGACGAGAGGGAGCCGAAAGACGAGGAACGGAAAGGAGAGCAGCCCATACGCCATCTTCATGTAGTAGAGGGTCTGCCAAAACATCCAGTGCGAGGTCGAGAGCTGCCTGGTCGCAGTAATGAACGATTGGTTAGGCCGTTACTCAATTCAGTGCGAGGGCGAGCGAGCTGCACCCTGTGAAGAGGAGCCGCCCGAAGCCGACAGTCAAGAGGATGACCAAGCAGTAGGCGTCGTACCGCATGAAGGCCGGCAGGTACCCCCCCGTCCTCACCTATTAATTATTACACGGTGAAAGAAGCACTCTGGAGTGGCATTTTGCCGCCCGGGTCCGCACTTCTGCTCCATAAGTCCTCCTCGCCTCCTCAATTGAAGTCCGTCTTATGTCGTCCTTGGCACGCCTCGTCTTCTCCTTCTCGATCCGCTTTTGGTCCTCAAGGGACGGCGCGCGCGGCGCCGAGGTACGCGCGTCTGCTGCGTCGAGCCGCACCTGCTCGAGGGCGCGTATCTCGCCGAGCCCGCCATACGCCTTCCCGCTCACGAGGAGGTAGGTGGCGGCAAAGAGAAGCCCAACCCGCAGCACCTCGAGTGAGTAGATAAAAGCGGAGTACATTGCCTCAGATGAGTCTGAGGCAATCAGTAGACATTTTTCAACGTCAAGCGTGTTTGCCGTTGAGACGTACTCGAGTGTGTTTGCGGTTGAGCTGTAGGTATCGGTCGCAGGACTGTTTAGGCAGTAGTAGAACTTGAGCGCCCCCTTGATGGCCAGCGAGAGCGCGTTGATGACTTGGAAGCCCTTGAAGGAAAGGACGAACTCCACGAGCTGGTACTCGTCCTTGCGGTCGATGTTGAGGAAGAAATAAGTGTAGATGAGCACGTTGACCCCGAAGAAGGGGAGGAGCTTGATGGCGAGGATCGACGCGCCGAACGGGTCCTGCATCACCTTCCATATGGTCGCGTCCGCCGGCTTAGCCGCGTACAGCACCTTGGCGCGCACCCAGGTGAGCAGATTGTTCAGCTGGAGCGGAGGCCCCTTTGCCCACTGCTTGATGCGGAGCTGGTGCTCTCGGTCGATGCTTCTGTACGAGGCCATGACGTCGCTCTTCAGACCCTCGCCCACTACCTCCCACCCGCGAGTGAAGACGCCGTCGACAAAACGTGCCACTCTCTGGGGCATGTAGGCTGCATTTGCGCTCTCTCGCGCGACGCCTCCTATCGTGGAAATGAAGTGACTGATCTGCCTGTCGAAGATCTCGTCGTGTGCCTGGTCGAACCTGTTGATCGCCCTCGCCTTGGCGCGTGGCACCAGACCACGCGCACCAAACGAGGTCCCGAGGTTGCCGCAAAGGTCGACAAAATCAAGCCTCGCCAGCGCCTTGGCGCCCTCGTCACGAATCTTGGTCTCTTCGAGGTAGAGTTCGGCGAGCTCTGCGTTGAGCTCAAACGCGGAGCCAAGCGTCTTTGCGCCTTCGGGGCCGATGTCGTTATACCAAATGTTGAGCTCGGTCAGCGCTGCGTTGGACCTGAGGGCATTGGCGATTGCCGCGGCGCCCTGCTGGCTGATCTTGTTGTTGCACAGATCGACGGATTTTAGCACCGCATTGGCGCCGAGCGCCTCTGCAAGCGCTACGATGCCGGACTCGTTGTACTTACCTTCACCGTCCTCGTCAAGACCGCAGATAAAGTTGCCGCTGAGATCGAGCTCGGTCAGCGTCAAGTTGACCGCGAGGGCCTTGCCGATCGCAACGCCACCCTCGGGGCCAATGTTGTTCCAGCTCAGGTTCAGAGTCGTTAGTCCCGATCTGCCTCGCAGAGCCTCGGCGATCGCTGCGCCACCCCTGGGACCGATAAGGTTGTTGCTGAGATAGAGAGTGGCCATCGGCGCGCTGACTGAGACATATTCAGCCAGCACTCCGGCTGTCTCGGCATCGATCTTCTGGTCCGACAGGTCCCACGACTCGATCTGGTTGTTCTGGTTGTCCCGGAGCGCACGGAAGATTGCGCTCCAGCCCTGGGCGCCGAAACTGTTGTAGCGTAGATCAATGCTTTTCAGCACCGTGTTGGTCCTGAGTGCCTTGGTGAGCACCAGAACCTCCTCTTCCTGTAGGTTGTTGGAAGACAGATCGATCGACGTCAAAAAGCACAGCATCGTTGCCACTGCTTTGTCCAGTCGTCTGATTCGCTGCAGGTCATACTTGCCGAAAGTCTGAAGGGGTCCAAGGGTGGGCGCGTGATAAGCGAGCGCCCTCTTGGGAGGGCGAAGCTGAGGACTACTTCAGACTGCGGACTAATGCTGCGGACTGTTGTGCAGTACCGCGGAACGGATGCTGCGTCGACTGCTGCTGAGTACTCTACACGCTATTACTGTGGACTACTGCATGCTACTAACGCAAGCTTGTTGATCGGGAAGGATCAGCCGGAGAGAGTAGAGCTGCGCCTACGGACAGCACGCCGCGGCGTGAGCGTCGAGACGATGCCGCCGGCACGCGCTGTCTATCGCGTCCACGGCGCTCGGACTGGAGCCGCGGGCAGCGACTGGCGAGCGAGCGGGCTGTGGCCAGAAGACAGATATCAGGAAGGGCTCGCGCGGGACAAGGGCGGCGAATGGGCAGCAGCGGACGCGTCTCGCGGCTTCGCGATGGCCGTACCTGCGGGCGGGAGGGTGGCGCGGTGTTCGAGCTGAGGGGGGGCGCAGCCTGCGGCGAGCGAGAGGGCGCATCGCTCGGCGGGAGCGGTGCGGGCACGGCTGGCTTCGCGAGCAATAGGCATCGCGGGGATCCAGGCGTGCAGCTTGCGGCTGCCATCGTCTGCGTGAGCGCGTGGCGGGGCAAGCGTGCATATGTGTGTGTATGGTTCGTGCATGGCTGCCTTTCGGGCCGAGGTCAAACCACATAACCCCCCCTCAGTGAGTCACCGTTCACATTACACAGAGACAGTCACGCAACACGGGGTTCCAGGGAAGTAACCGTTCACAGTCCGGCGAATCTGGCCTGATTCTGGGGGATACGATCAATGGAGGCGGATTTCAAAAAAGAACCCTTCGCGACGCGGTGTGCGTGCGGGCGCGGGGTGCGGTGCGACCGGTGAGTGTGTGCGGCGTCATGTGTGTGTCCCTTCTGGTTCCCTATCGAAGGCTAGCTCAAAAAAGAAACCAGGGGCGGGCTTGCATTTTTGCCGTCGTCAGTGCCGCATACATGCTGGGGCTGGCTGAGGAGTTACCTTCCTGGGGCTGCGGCTTCCGCGTCGGCCTTGACGCTGCCGGCCTTAGGTAGAAAGGTGAAGAACAGCCAGGCTCGGACTGGACACCAACGCGGTATGGGTGGACGCCAGACAGATGATGACGACACGCACGAGCGACACACAGACACAAACAGGCTCACAAGACACACAGCCAGCTGGCTGCCACACACCCTGAGTTGGCGTACTAGTCGTGGCGGAGCTGTGAACAGCGTCTCTTCACGGCTGCCGCTGTGAACAGGAGCTGGCGTGGTATTGGTCGTGGCAGCGTTGCGAGGCTTTGCGTCGCGTGCTCTCAAGCTGATACCTCTGGAGCAGCGCCCCTTCACAGCGGCAGCGCTGTGAACAGGCCTCACTGGCGCCGTCGGGCTGGAGCTGGTGCGGGCGCGGCGCGAGGCGGCCGCGCTGTGAACGGCGTCTCTTCACGGCTGCCGCTGTGGGCAGGTGCGAGCGCGGCACGAGGCGGCGGTCGCGGCGCTGGCGCGGGTTCGTAGGGTCGGGGCGAGGCGGGCGGCGGCGGAGGCGGAGGCGGAGGCCGCGGAGGAGCGGGCAGGGGCGGCGGCGGCGGCGAGGGCGGCGGCGGCGAAGGAGGAGCGGGCAGAGGCGGCGGCGGATGAGGACGAGGGGTGGGAGAAGGAGGAGGAGGAGGCACGCGCAGCGTTGAGGGCGGCGAGGGAGGCGGCGGCTGCTGCGGCGGCGGCGGCGGAGGTGTCTGCGGCGGTGACGCTGCTGTGTGTTGACGCGCTGTCCACCAGGGAGCCGTACGCGAAGGCGGGCCGAGATCGAGCCGAGATCGAGCCGAGATCGAGCCGAGATCGTGCCGAGATCGAGCCGAGAGATAGCCAAGGTCGAGCCGCGAGCTCGGGCCGAGATCGAGCCGAGATCGTGCCGAGATCGAGCCGAGAGATAGCCAAGGTCGAGCCGAGATCGGGCCGAGATCGAGCCGAGATCGTGCCGAGATCGAGCCGAGAGATAGCCAAGGTCGAGCCGAGATCGGGCCGAGATCGAGCCGAGATCGTGCCGAGATCGAGCCGAGAGATAGCCAAGGTCGAGCCGAGATCGAGCTGAGATCGAGCCGAGATCGTGCTGAGATCGAGCCGGGATCGAGCCGAGATCGAGCCGAGACCTAGCCGAGATCAGATCGAGCCGGGATCGAGCCGAGATCGAGCCGAGACCGAGCCGAGACCGAGCCGAGATCGTGCGGAGACCATGCAGCACTCGGCCGAGATCGAGTCGAGATCTAGGGTGGCCTGACCCAGCGCCTGCTCGGGCGGACAGCTTGTGGGGGCTGTTGGCCAGGGCGACCCGCCCGAGTAGCAAGAATGAGTAGCAAGAATGAGAAACACACAAGATGATAGTCGAGAGATTACTGTTGTAAGACACACGCTGTCGATATCGACTACGGTATGATCACAGGCGACGCGCGTGTTTTGCAACAACGCGACCTGGCCTGCCTCGCTCAACGCCGCGCTGGCTGCGCACCTCTCGGCGAGTGCGCCGAGGCGGCTCGCCGCGCTAGCGACGGTTCGCGCGCTTCCGCCGGCCGCACTAGCCGACGCCGGCCTGGCGCTACACGCAGTGCCACCGGGGTCGAGGTCACGTGGGACCGTGTCGGCGCGCCTCTGCACGTGTACGTGCGGGAGGGGAGGCAGGGCGCAAGCCCGCCGGGAGGGCGGTGTGACGGGCGGTACGCGGCGGCGAGCGAGGGCGGCGTCGACGGCGACATTGGCATGGTTTGAAAAAGCTGGCCCGCGCGCGCGCTCCGCCTGCCGCGCGGAGCGACTCGGTACGTGGACGTCCGAGCCCGCCGCCCCTCGCCACTGCTCCCTGCTGGCCCATGCAGCGCGACACCGCCGGCGCTGCGTCTGCTTCCTCGCCGTCACGATATATAGACTTAAGACGGTCTTAAAACGCTCACGTCTCGCGGTGGACGCCGGCTAGCGGTAGGCCGTATGGCGTAGGCGGCGGGTACTCTATCCCAGATCGGGAGATTCGAGAGTGAGAGAGCGGATGTCGTCGCCGCGCCTGCCTGGCTGCCTTGAAGGTCAGACGCCATACGCGGCTGCGATCTCGCCAGCCTTGCGCTGTCGCCCCGCCTCCGTCAGCACCTCGACAAGGTTGCGGGCCGAGCTCCTCGTCTCTTTATGCCCCTTCCCGTACCGCGCAGCGAACCCCTCCAGCTCCTCCCAGAAGAGAGGGATGGCGTCCCCGAGCCTGCCCTGCTTTTGCAGCAGCGAACCGAGGTTGTAGATCGAGGTGAGCGTACTCGGGTGCCGGTCGCCGAGCGTCTCTCGCCTTCCCTCCAGCGCCTCGCGCTTCAGCGCCTCTGCGCCGTCCAGGTCGCCCTTGGCCTCCAGCAGCACGCTGAGGTTGCCGATCGAAGTGAGCGTGCTCGGGTGCCGGTCGCCAAGCGTCTCTCGGCTCGCCGCCAGGTCCTCGCGGAACATCGGCTCCGCGCCGTCCAGGTCGCCCTTGGCCTTCAGCAGCGAGCCGAGGTTGTTGATCGAAGTGAGCGTACTCGGATGCCGGTCGCCGAGCGTCTCTCGCTTTGCCTCCAGCGCCTCGCGGAACAGCGCCTCCGCGCCGTCCAGGTCGCCCTGGGCCTCCAGCAGCCCGCCGAGGTTGTTGATCGAGATGAGCGTGCTCGGGTGCCGGTCGCCGAGCGTCTCTCGGCTCGCCTGCAGGTCCTCGCGATACAGCGCCTCCGCGCCGTCCAGGTCGCCCTGGTCCTGCAGCAGCGAGCCGAGGTTGCCGATCGAGATGAGCGTGCTCGGATGCCGGTCGCCGAGCGTCTCTCGCTTTGCCTCCAGCGCCTCGCGGTACAGCGCCTCCGCGCCGTCCAGGTCGCCCTTGGCCTTCAGCAGCACGCCGAGGGAGTTGATCGAGGTGAGCGTGCTCGGGTGCCGGTCGCCGAGCGTCTCTCGCCGCCCCTCCAGCGCCTCGCGGAACAGCGCCTCCGCGCCGTCCAGGTCGCCCTTAGCCTTCAGCAGCGAGCCGAGGTTGCCGATCGAGGTGAGCGTGCTCGGGTGCCGGTCGCCGAGCGTCTCTCGCCTCGCCTCCAGCGCCTCGCGATACAGCGGCTCCGCGCCGTCCAGGTCGCCCTTGGCCTTCAGCAGCAAGCCGAGGTTGTTGATCAAGGTGAGCGTGTTCGGGTGCCGGTCGCCGAGCGTCTCTCGGTGCCCCTCCAGCGCCTCGCGATAAAGCGCCTCCGCGCCGTCCAGGTCGCCCTGGTCCCGCAGCAGCGCGCCGAGGTTGCTGATCAGAGTCGACGTCGCCCGCTTCGCCGGCTCCATCCGCTCCAGCGCCGCCCTCCCCTGCTTCGCCAGCGCCCCCCGCAGCAGCCCAAACACAGCCTTGTTGCACTCGGTCAGGCCAACCTCCCGCTCCAGCTCGCCCAGGATCTGCTCCGTGTCCTTCGGGTTGCGGCACTCCGCCTTGCGCACATCCACCTCGGACAGCTTCTTCGCGATCGAGGCAAAGTTCTCCACCAGCGCCGTCTCAAAGGCCGCCTGCTGCTCCGCGCTCATCACCACCTCGAAGCGCGCGCCCGACGCCTGCGTGTGGAACACCTCCTTGATGCAGTACGCGCGCAGCAGCGGCTTTGGGGCGTCCCACGGCACCATGAGCAGAACCGTGTGGCCGACGGCGCGGACGCAATCGCCCAGCCGCTTGACGTCGTTCATTGTGACGTCGAGCTGCCGCGTCGACTGCCGGATCACAAAGTCGCAGACCCAGAACTTGGTGTCGGGCGGCAGCTCTGGGTGGAGCCGCAGGTACTGCCGCAGGGCGTCGACCAGCGTCGCGAGCGGCGTCTCGAGGAACCAGCTCACAAAGACGGTGGCGACGCCCACGCCAGGGTCGCCGCGCTCGTGCAGCGCCTCGCAGTACGCCTTGCCTCCGTCCGCCTCGCTCCGCCTCGCGATCTGCCACTGGTTGACGTAGCCGTTGAGGGCGGCGTTGGCGGGGACGCGGACGCCGTTGATGGTGGGCCGGTTCTCGTTGCACTGCTTGACGGCGTCGGTGGGGAGGGCGGTGATGTACTCCTCGATCGCGTCGACAGATAGGCCGAGGGTCAGCCGCTCAGGGAGGTTGAAGCCGGCGGCTCTGTGCGAGACGAGCGCTTGCGCCTGCTGAGCTTCCACATCTCTCTCAGAACTCCTGACGGCCACACGCTGCTGCGCTGTCGACTCATCTTCTGTGACGTCGTCACTTGGATTGGCGAAGGGCTTTCTTGCTTTGCTTGCGCTCACCTCCTTGCCCTTTGTGGCTTGCACCCGAGTCGCCTCTGACCGCTTCTTAGCCTCATGCCGATTGCACTCGGCCCCTCTGCGGACGCCCTCCCCTGCCTCATGCTGCGCTTCCGCGACCTGCGCTTCCGCGGCCGAGCTCTCAGACGCAGCAGAGCTAGCGCAGCCCATCGCGGCTCGGTCCCTCCAGCGGCTCGCGCTTGAGCACCAGCGGCTCGCGCTTGAGCACCACGCCTTCTAATCGTATCACGGTGAGCCCATGTTTCTTTTTATTTCTCCTTCAGTATCAATAAAAAATGAAGGTATCGCGGCGCGGCGGCGCTGTCTCATCGAGCACCTACTTCCTTTACATAATACATAAAGTTGGAATAACGGGAGCGCACAGAGAAAACGGCGCTCGGGCCCGGGGCGGCCTTCAGGCAGCGCCACTCTAAAATATGCGTCGGCCGTCTCGCCTCGCAACAGCATCAGAGTGCCATGGCGGAGAAGCGCTGACGACAGGGGAGGAGCTGTGACACCGCTGTCGAGGGGACGCCCAGCCGCCGAGGGCTCTCCTTCTCCCGCCTCGCCAATCTAGCCCCCTGTGTCGCCGCTCAGACGATGGCCTTGTCCCACACGCCTCCGGTCGCCGCCGGCCAGATGAAGTCCGTGGTGGAGGCCACCTGTTCACAGGTGGAGGTGGGGGGGGGGGGGGGGGGAGTGAACAGCCGGCGGCGAGGAAGGGAGGGGCGGGAGGATGGGTGGTGTGTGGAGAAGAAGGGAGGCGGGCACGGGACTGGCGCGCACTGGCACTAACACAGGTACACCACGAAAGAGAAGGAAAAGAAGGCGCTCGCCGCATCTCCCACGTCTTGCCTACGACTGTACGACTTAGAGGTGGATGGGTTGGGAGCGGGGGGGCAGAAGTGATCAGTGCGGTAGATGGCGAGCTCGAGGCGCGTGAGCCGGACTTGTGAGCCGGACCACCCCCTCTTGTTCCCTGCGTTGTTGAGCCACAGGACTCAACATACGGGCTTGCAATCCCAAACTGTCACTCCCCTCTCTCCCGGCCGGGGTGGGGCGCGCGCGGGGGCGGCGGGTGTGCGGCGAGTGTGCGGGATGTCTGTGGGCCCGAGAGCGATATGCCATGTTATGTGATGTTATCACATAACCGGCGGAGGCGGCGGCGGCGACGGAGGCGGCGGCGGCGGCGGCGATGGCAGCGGCGGCGGCGGCGGCGGCGGCGGCGGTGGCAGCGGCGGAAGTGGTGACACTGCAATGTCGCTGTCACCACCTTCGCCACGGCCGACGCTGTACGCCACGGTTTGGAGAGGGCCGGCCATGATTTTCCGCAAGGCGCCGTACGCAGACTCCAACCTCGAAGAAAACCAGGATGCGCTCACACACAACGCAGTGCTTACCCGAAACGACAAGGGCTCGCTGATCAACGTCGCGGCGGGCGGCTCGCCTGATCGTGGCGAAGGCTGGAAGGGGACCAGCCCTCAAGGAACGGAGTGGGCGGAGGGCGCCACGGACGCCATGCTCGGCCTGAAGTTTCAAACCCTCAAGGCGGCGGCCGACTACCGCATGAGGAACATCGCGGGCAAAACGATGGTGCTGCACCTCATCGAGGAGGACATCTACCTTGACGTGGAGTGGCTTGAGTGGACCGCTGATGACGGCCGCTTCAGCTACCGACGTGCCACGAATTCCTCTTCCGAGCAGCTGCTCCCAATGCCGCCCCAAGCCCGCCGTCGCCGCCAGGGTGGCCGCCGTCGCCGCCCCGACCGCCGCTGTCGCCACCGCCGCCCCTGCGCAATCCGATAGCCGTGGCGCTCTGGATCGTGCCCGCGCTTATTGCCGCTGCCATCCTCGCGCTCGCGCTCGCCTGGTGGATCAGGACGAGGCAACGCAGCAGACGCGTTGCGCGCAGAGAGATCAGCATGTCGACGCTCCCCGGACAGCAGCGGGGCCCCGACCTGCAGACCCACCGCTCGGCCGCCGTCTAGCGACACTCTTGTTTCTTTTCGATGTTTGACCCGTTTGGTCTCCACGGTTGTTTGACGTATGATTTGAGATTTGAATTAATTATTAATCATGTCTACTAACAGCCGTGTTACAAAAGTCGCCCACTGAGCCTGCGGGGAACTCGCAGAATTCTTTGATTGTTCCTAAAGGTAAAGCCGTATTGCCGAATGCCGATGCGCGATGGCGATGCCGTGGTCCGTGCAGGCTCGACACAGCTCACAGCCGCGGACACTTTTTCGTCTCAGACGCCCACCCTCAGACGCTGTGGCTGGCGCATAAACAACAGAACGCAACGTTGCCCTCACAGAACGAACAAAAAAGAAAGCGGCGTCACCGAGGAGGTCGTGATGCAGGGCGGGGACACATGTCCCTAAATCCCATCTCGTCTCAGAGTTTGACGGTTTTTATTTATTTATTTATTTAGGTCGTGATGCAGAGCTTCGGATGCGAGTGGACGCCCCGCCGCCCGCAGTAAGTGCAGATGTCCTCTTCAGCCTGCCGAGAGCTTCCTGGCCCGCGCGCGCGCTCCGCCTGCCGCGCGGAGCGACTCGGTGGACGTCCGAGCCCGCCGCCCCTCACCACTGCACCCTGCTGGCCCATGCAGCGCGACACCGCCGGCGCTGCGCCTGCTTCCTTGCGCGCCGCTGGACGTCGGCCGAAAAGACCGCTTCCCTCTGGGGACCCGACTCAGCGAAGATCGCGCGCGCGTCGTGAATGCGGCGCGCGCGCGATCTCCGTTCCCGGGCACGCCGGTCGCAGTGACATGGGATCCCAGGCTCAAAACAGCGCGCTCAACAGCGAGAGCGCCGCCGCTGCTCCTCCTCCCTCCACCACTCCGCTCACCGAGACAAACTCGGTGCCGCCGCTCTCGCCGCCGCCGCCGCCGCCGCCGCGTCGGCCCTCGCCTCCGTCACCGCCGCCCTCCATCTCGCGGCGGCGTCCCTCTGATGGCGCGGGCGCCTCGCTCGCCGGCGCGCCTCGCCGCTGCCCCCCTCTCGCCGCCGCTCCGCTCGTGGCCGCCGCCTCCCCTGTCAATCACGCCGTCCGCACCACCGCTGCCACCGCTGAGGGGTGGCCCGTCTACCGTCTACCGGTAGACCGGGTAGACGGTAGACCGTTTGGTAGACGAGTCTACGGGTAGACCGTAATGAACCTACGACTCGTAGTACGACCTACCGTACGAAACCAGTCTACCGGTAGACTTGGTAGACGGGGGAACGGGAGCGGGGAGCGCATCGCGACACGGAGGGGGGCTGGGCAGGGGTCACCCACACGACAGGGTCCCAGGAATTCCCCTCTCGTATAGGACAGGTTGCACCCGGCGGCACCGGGGGCAGGCGCGGGCCTCCTACTGGTTGCGCTCTCCTAGTTCTTCTGCTCCCGACAAGGGACAGCGACGTGCTCGCAGCACGGTGGACTCAGAACGAAATAAAGTTTTTTCGCGGCGGCTGGAGCACGGATTTGTATATGCGCGCCTGCCCTGGGTTTATATGCACACGACGCTGTCTCGTATTTTTTTTCGCGGCGGCTGGAAGCACGGATTTATGCGCGCCTTTGCGACGCCGGCGCTCCTCCTCTTCTCCATCCAGGCGGCCGCCGACGCGGCCACCCTTCGCACGCCCTTCCCCGTCTTCTACTCGCCCTCCACGCCCGACCGCGCCTCGCGCCTCGCTGCATGGCTCAGCGCGGCGGCCGGCGACTGGTGCCACGCGCTGCTACCTCCCGTCTTCCCGCAGGACTTTGCGGTGACGTGGTCGCCGACGGCCGACTCGCCCGTCCGCATGGCCAACTCGACCACCGGCGAGAGCCTCTTCATCGTCCGGCCGCCGTTTGGCCGGCTCGGCAAGCAGATGGAGACGGTGCTGCGGCTGGGCCGGTCGCCTCGCAACATCGAGTCGTCCTTCTCAGCGGCGCACAAGGTCGCGAACGCCGCCTTCCACCTGCGCGCGCAGCAGTGCTTCGCCGCGCGCTGCCACCCCTGCGTCGCATCGCCGGACGTTCTTTGGGCGGCCATCTTTGAGGCGCCGCCGAGATGCAGCCCGAGATGCCGCCGAGATCGCGCCGAGATATGCCGGACGTGGTGTGCAGCGGGCGGCCGTCGGGTGTGAGGGAGGGACTAGCCGTGACCTCGCTGCTGCTACTGCTACTGCTGCTACTGCTCTCCCCCCCTCCCTCCCTCCCTCCCTCCCTCCCTCCCTCCCTCCCTCTCAAAAGGAGCCCGCCCCCGCACCTCGAGCGCCCCCAGAACACACACCCGCCCCCCCCTCCGACACTGCTTCAGGACGACGTCGCCTTCGTGCCCGGCTACTCGCCGGGGGCCGGGGTCGACCTCTCCCTACCTCCCCCCCCCCTCCCACCCTTCCCTCTTTTCTGGAGATTGAGATCTCACGCCGGCGAGGTTCGAGGAGGTCAGGAACCGCGCGCGAATTCCCCCGCCTCTTGGCCGACCGCCGCCGCCACCGCCGCCGCCGAGGGGGGGAACAAGCTGCAGCTCGCGGTGGGCAACGCGGGGCAGGAGGCAGACTCTACCCCGCCCCTTTTTTCCCCCCCCCCCCCCCCCACACCACCACCACCACCGCCCCCTCTCCCCCCTCCCCGCTCTCCCCCCTCCCGCCCCCTCCCCGCCCCCTCACCCCCTCTCCCGCCCCCCCGCCCCTCTTTCGCACGCCCGCCGTGCACCGCGTCTCTTCACAGCGCCCGCCCGTGAACAGGTGGACCTCGACTACTCGCCAAAGAAGTATTGCGAGCCGCACGCCCGCAACGTGACCGGCTGGGACACGGCGCGCGGCGGAGTAGCGCAAATCAATTGAGTAATAGTCAGTCAACGATTCGACTCTGATTCAACTATGAATTCACCGGCTGGGACACGGCGCGGCGGAGTAGCGGCGGAGTAACGCGCAAAAGCATCATGCGGAGGACGATGAGGAGGAGAGAAGGAATGAGTCATTCGGGCACACGTCACTCCTATAGAGGAGAATGAGCCGGCTAGTTGCCCCCCCTCGACTCCACCATCAGCCAGCTGGCGCACAGTAGTAACCGCTGCCTCCCCTCGACTCCACCATCAGCCAGCTAGTTCGCCATGGACTGTAGGCGCGTCTGCGCGTCTGCCATCACTTTTCGGATCCGCTCGCCTCTGGCACCGGATCGCAGCGGCGGCAGCTTCACACCGCCTGCAGCTGTGAACAGGACCCGCACGCTGCCTTTGCCTGCTGCTACTACTATCACCACTGTCTTCACGCCGCCCGCAGCTGTGAACAGGACTCGCACGCCTTTGCCGTTTCGCATGCCCACGCGTCGGCCGTCGTCGCTGCGCACGCGGCGCTGGTGGCTCGCGACGGGCGCGGGGCAGGTAATAGTGGTAGTAGTACACCTGGAAGAAGGTGGTAGTAGGCAAGCCAGTTCCATCTCTCTGACCCCCACCCACACGCCCAAGCGACTAGCGACAGGGGAGGGCAGGTGTGTAGCTGCGCCTGAGCCGACCGCACCGCTACTACGCTCCGGCCCGCGCGCCTCTTCCCGCCCCGTCACTCCGACGCTCTGCTGTGAACTGCTGTGAGCTGCTGTGAACACACAGCCCGTGTGTCGCGTGCGACTGTCTCTGTGCGTCTCTTCTCGGGCCCGGGGCAGCTGGCCCGGGGCTATACGTTGACGCCGACACACCCGCCTCCGCCTCCTCCTGTGGCGAGGGGGCGGAGAGTGGTCCGATCCTCACGGCTGCCTATAGCTACTGCTACCGCTACTTAACAGGCGCCTGCCCCACCCCTCGTCGACTTAATACTGAGTAAATTAAGAGCTAATTAATTGACAGGCGCCTGCCTCAACCCGTGGCACTCGTCGAGTTGCGGCAACGACCGACGGCCGCCGCGCGAGGAGCAGCTGTGAACAATACGTTGATCCGTCGGCCAGAGATGTGGCTGGTTAGGCGAGCGGATGCCCGCCCCCGGGCGTGCTGCGCGAGGAGCTGCTGTGAACAACGAGTGAGTGATCGGCGAGAGTGTGGCTGGTTAGGCGATGACCCCGGCGTGCTGCGCGACTTTTTCGAGCAGTGCGACCGGCCAAAGCGGAGGCGTCCCCCCCCCCCCCCCCCTTAACCCCCCCCCCCCACCCCCCCATCCACAGAAGTAATTCAGTCACCGAGACGTAGTGGTTGAAATCTCCACCACTAGTGAATTTAGGCAACCTCCCTCGGACACGCGCCTGAGCTGCCGCGGCCTCCTCGCGCTCGCGCTTCCCGCCCCCGCCTGTGAACGGCGCCTCTTCACACCTCCAGCTGTGAACAGGCCTCGTGCTCGCGGGTCTGCGCGTGCCGTGGGCCCTTCTGCACAACAACACCGTCGGCTTCAAGATGGCCGGCGAGACACAGCCGAGATATAGCCGAGAGACTGCCGAGATATAGCCGAGAGACTGCCGAGAGGCAGCCGAGAGGTAGCCGAGAGGCAGCCGAGCGGCAGCCGAGCGCCAGCCGAGAGGCAGCCGAGATATAGCCGAGCGGCAGCCGAGAGGCAGCCGAGAGGCAGCCGAGAGGCAGCCGAGAGGCAGCCGAGAGGCAGCCGAGAGGCAGCCGAGAGGCAGCCGAGAGGCAGCCGAGAGGCAGCCGAGAGAACACAGCCGAGATGTACGCACCTTCAAGAGGGACTAGACGAGAGTCACGGGCAACGAAATGACTGGGCCGGCGTGGACGAGCCGCAGGTGTTCACACGCAGGACTCGTAATTCATGAGTTCTACTTTAGAACCGACAGGTGCTCACAAGCAGGACTCGTACGGCATCATCTTTTACTTATTTATTTATTATTTATTTGGCAGGTGCTCACAAGCAGGACTCGTACGGCATCATCTTTTGTTTATTCATTCATTTATTTATTTATTTATTGATTTGGCAGGTGCTCACAAGCAGGACTCGTACGGCATCATCGCGCGCATGGTCAAGGAGACGGCGGTGTGGAAGCAGACCCTCGAGGAGGGCTTAATCAACTAGTCGATGAACTCAATCCACTCATTCATTGTAGGTGTGGAAGCAGATCCTCGAGGAGGGCCACGCCACACTCCACCGCGGCCACGCCTTCAACGCGACACGCGCGGACGAGAAGGGGAGGGTGCGGCGGGAGAAGCGGAGGGAGGCGCAGCGCGCGGGCAAGCTCACGTCGCTCGCAAAAGGCATCCGCGCCGGCCGCTGAGTAGCAGGGGCGAGGGGACGCCCTCGCTCCCTCTGTCTGATGAGCGCATTTGGCGCTGTCTATTGGTTGTGGGGGGTTCGCTTTGTCTGTCGGTGTTTGCAGAGTGTCGGGCCGAGTGTGCATGCTTCCTTCCGCCATCTTCTTTCGACTGAAAGAAACGGAGTATTAAGGAAAAGAAGTTTAGGAAAAGAAAATCGAGAGCGATATGCCATGTTGATTGATTGATGGGAAGGCGAAACACAGTCCGACCAACGACTGGGACACCAACGCGGTAACCGGTATGGGTGGACGCAGGACGGGCGATGACGGTCACACAGGAGCGACACACAGAACCACAAGACAAGACACTCAGCCAAACTGACTGCCACACATCCTGAGCGAACTTCTCTAGTCACCCGCGGCCGGACTCCATCCGGCACGCGTCGCTGGGCGCTCAGAGCCGCGTCCCCTGCTCGCCACCCCGACGCCCAAGGCGCCCGAGCGAACGACAGGCGGCACGCGAAGACTGGTTGCAATCCCGCCGACCGCCAGGCCGCGGGATGATGCGTGCGTGGTCTTGTAGTGGGTCTCGGAAGCTCCCCTCTCGGGCTAGGAGCCAGCCCCTCTCCCTTGCCCTCGGAGCAGTGTGTCCGAGTCGAGGCGTGTGCTTGCCGGGCGACGGCCGCGCGCGGTTGGCATTGTGACGAAGGGTGCGCGCGGCCGCGGCGCGCCCGCCATGGTTCGGCGCGGCGCGCCTACCAGCGGCAATTGTCGAGGCACGGGAACGCTTACCCGGGGTCATCCTCTGAGCCTGGTCGTCGGCGCCGCGATGCCACGGCGGCGCATTCGACGTCGTCGGCGCGCTGCCCCGCGTTGAGCCCCGCCGCTCGTAGCGACGGCCGCAGGTTGGCCCGGTGCAGCGCGCCCTGGCCGCAGACTGAAGAACGGCCACGAGGGGTGTGTGATGTGCGGTGCGGGGTGTGAGGGGGCAGCGTCTTTGTGTGTGTGTGCGCGCGCGCCGCTGCAGGAAAGAGTGCGGCCCTCGGGGTACGCCTCGTCCGGCCCCCTCCGAGGGGGTCGTGATCTGAACTGGAGAGGGGGTCGGCCTTGAGAGCTTACGGGGTCTCCCCACGCCAGAGGCTCTGCCTCTCCTCTCGGGGATTGAACTGGGGGATGGGGGCGGGGATCCTCCCTCTTCCCGCCGTCGATGCCGGGGATCAACCAATCCGGAGAGGTCGTTACCATTCCTCCATTCATCCTCCCAGCTTCATCGGCGCGACGCGATCCGATCGGCGCCGCCACCGACGGGGCCGCCGGCACGGAGTGGATTCTCCGTCGTTGCCGGTCGGGGTGTTGGTCCGGACATGGGCGGCGCGACCACTGCACTGCTCCAATGGCCAGAGACCCGGTGCGGGGCAGGTGTTCGCGCCGCCCCGCCCCGCGTCGCCCGCCGCCGCGCCGCGCCGCCGCGCCACGCCACCGCCTCGCATCGCCACGTACCGTGCTCAGCACTGCGTCGCACCTATTTCGGAGTGAGAACCGTAGCCCCAAGTGACCCAGCCCACACCCTCTTGCCTGTCTGATCTTAGAGCGGTATGTTGAGAGTAGGCTCGAGTCACCTCCGCTCCTTCTTCAGTCCTGCCATGTGCGCCTTGCGTTTGTTTTCATAACATCGAAGGCTAAGCTCAAAAAAAGAATCGGCGGGCACGTCGCGCCGCATGGTGGCCGCGCTGCGCCGCTCGCCGCTGGCGCGCGGTTGATCGCGGCGCCGACTCCGCGGCGGCCATCTCACGCAGCGGGACGCGTCGCTTCGTCGGCGCCAAAGCAGACGCGAGCTCGCGGCGCGGGCGCGGCAGCAAAAACATCAACGTCTCCTTCTCCTTTTCCTTCTCTTCTCGTCTCGTCTTGTCGCGGGCGCGCACGCGCGCGACGTGCGCCCGTGTCGCCGCGTTCGCTCCGCTAAGGACGATTCGAACCGGGAGCCAGTCGGCGCGGCGGCGGCGCGCGGCGGCAAAAGGCGCGGCGCTTGCTTCCTTGAGATGCTGCTGGTGTTGGCACCTCCTGATATAATGCTGAGCGGGGCGGAGGCACGCGGGTGGCGGAGGCGGCGGCGGATGACGTCTACTACCTGGCCGCCCCCTGTGGTAGCCAGGCAGTGGATTTGGTCCTGGCACCAGCCTTGGCAGTTGATTTGGCCTTGGCACCAGCCTTGGCGGGGCGGCGGGCACGCGAGATGCACAGGCGCCAAGGGGGCAGAACCGACCTAACCCGTCGGAGGTGGGGGGAAGGGAGTCCCGCCGGGTTCCCCTGCACGAGCGCGAGAGTAGGACACGGAGGAGCAACTGGACCGTGTCAGCGGCGACGGATGGGTGGCAGCGAAGGACGGTGATTACGCTGACGCCCTCGCCAAGCGCCACACGGTCATCCTCCTTTCCCGAGTCGACCGGAGCATTCTCCGCCGACCTCGATCGTGTCCTCCGCCAGCTTGCGAGGAGGACCGCACGCGCTAGTGGGTCCATTGACCACACGCCGTACGGCACCTCCCGCGCGTCCACCCGCTCGCACTACACCTTTCACTCCGCCGCCATCTCCGCCGCCATCGTCACCGCCGACGCCCTCGCCATTCAGAACTCGGCCGCCGCCCTCGGCTTCGAGCTCACCCTCGACCCTCGCGATCTCGCCCGGCGCTCGTCGGGACGGCCGCCATTGCGGTCGGCGCCACCACCTCCTCCCGCCCCCCCCGCAGCCACTGCCGCGCGGCCGCCAATGCGACCGACCCCCCCCTCCTTCCCCGACCCCGCCCTAAACGCCCCCGACAGCGAAGCCCGCGCCGCGCGCGGCACCACCGCCGACTCTACCTCCGACCCCAGGGCCTAGGCGGCCCGCCATGAAATCTAGCCGTGTGTGCTGGCGTCCGAGGCCGTGCGGAGTTTGTTGTAAAATGAACTCGGGGTCACGGTACGCGGCACAAACGGGCCCAGAAGGAGTGTCCGAAATCCGCGCCATAACAACTGTCTATGTACGCGCTCCGCCCCCGGCCGCTGCCGCCGCGAATGCGCGCGGCGGCCGCGCGCTTGGTGCGGAGGCCCACCGGACGCTCGCGCGGCGCCAGGGCGTGTCGGTCTCGGCACGTCTCGGGCGCTGTGAGATGCCCTTCGACGTGTGGGCGCTCGCTACAGTCGCCAGGAAGCTTGGCTTCCACTGCTGTGGTCGCTGGGGTCCGGCGGTGCTCGTCAGGCTCTACGATGCGACGGTCGGTTCTTCGCTCGCGTCGCCTGCGACGAGCCTGCATGGCTCGTGGCTCGACGGGAGCTTGCTCAGCACGCTCCCAGGATTGTGTGGAGCCTCGCCTGGCCCTCTGGGATGGCCTGCAGGGCCGGGGCGGGCCGCCACGGGTGCGATGGCGCGCTGAGTACTACCTCTGCGATGACTGCCGGCTCTCTGATCGCGTCGCCGGCGGCGGGCTCGCGCGGCGCGCTGCGGCAGCCTCAAGCCCGCCGCCCGCGACCCGATCGAGACCTCGTAGTCATGGCAGCATCCAGCGCGCCATCTCGCCCCAGACGGCCCGCCCTGGCCCTGTCGGCCTTCCCAGACAGCTTGTCGAGGCTGTACAGAGTGCCGAGAGCATGCTGGGCAGGCTCCCGTCGAGCGACGAGCCATGCTGGCTCGTCGCGGGCCGCGAGCGCGAAGACCCGCGCGGAGCGTCGCCGAGCCTGACGTGCCCGCCCGCACGCCCGCGGCCGCAGGCAAGGGAGGCGAGCTTCCTGGCGTCTACGCCAAGCGCACACATGCCAAAAGACACCTCGCAGCGCACGTGACGTGATCGAAGCGGCACGCCTCGGCGCCGCGAGAGCAGCCGGTCGACGTCGACACCAAGCGCACGGCCGCCGGGCGCCTCCGAACCCACAGGGGCGCCGCGGCAGTAGAGAGCACTCCACCCGCCATACCGTTGATAACACAGTCACTTGGAGCACTTGGAGTGCGGTCAGTAACCTCACGCCCAGGACCGGGGAGCTGAGAAGCGCACCCAGTTGGCCGGACGCTCGGCATCGGGTTACGGGCTAGAGAGCCCTAGCCCCGGGGGTGCGCGGTCGCAGGGCCATAACACGGGTCTCCGAGGGTTAGCTCCGCGCTCCGGGTTTCCCCTAGCAGCAGACCGCCCCCTCTACTCGGAGCTAAAGAATACTCTCCGAGGGTTAGTCCGCGCTCCAGGTTTCCCCTAGCAGCGGAGCGCCCCCTCTACTCGGAGCTAAAGAATACTCTCCGAGGGTTGGACCCGCGTACCAGGTTTCCCCTTAACTGCAGGACGCCCCCTCTACTCGGAGCTAGTGATACGAGAATACGCACCGGCCCCACGCAATACCTTACTCGAAGATAATACGAGAATACGCAGCTGCGAGGCCCCTGTCGAGCTCTCGAGCAGCTTCCGCGGCGAGCAGCTTCCGTGGCCGTGGGGCGTGGGGGGGGGGGGGGGGGGGGCGGGGAAGGAAGGGGGGGGAAAAAGGGGGGGGAAGGGGGAAGGAGTAGGGAGAACGGGGGGGGGGGGGGGGGG